AGAAAGTTAAGGACTTGCATATTATAGTTGAAGGCATGCACATTATAGTTGAACAAGAAAGGTCACCTGCTATTGTTCTACTGCTGAATGTATACATTATGGAAGGCAAGAAAATGGGGCTTTTGACAGAAATTATCAGTTACGAAGGTTTAAATTGCTATTTGAATACTATGCATACAAAAATAAGGTTGCAGAATGTATAGCATTCTATTTGGTATAGTAATATGTGCTAATATTTTAACAGAATAATTTTATGAATTTGACTTAGCTTGTAACTTCTTTTAAGCCACAAAGTTTTATGCATACAACTGCATTATAAAATAATTGTCTTTTTGCCTTTTGTCAAAATACTACTTCTTGAAATCTGGAATATATATATGTGTGTGTATATATATGTGTATATATATATATATGTATACGTAGCTACAGCTAGAATTCTTGGATTAGATTTTTTACAGAAGCATTCATACTGGATAAAATCCTAAATAGCAGCCAGTATAAAATAAATCAACAGCATTTGTATGAATTTTTTTCAAAATTTAAATTATCATTTAAAAAATCATAATTTGATCCTGTGGATGTTTAAAAGGGAATGCGGTATATACATGTGGTGTTTGGAGAGTACATGCATGCAATGAAGTTCCTTTAATCTACAGATGGAAGTTTATACTGATTTCAGTAAAGATCAGAACATAATGGTAACATGAATAACAGATAATAGCATCTGGCACTTTTAACATTTAAAGCCCTGAAAATCTTTGGAGAACTGACAGTTGAATGAAACTGACGGCTCTAGTTATTTCTCAGCACTTTCCTTTCAAGAGATTTTGAGTTTTTTCCAGGTTCAGAAAAATTTTTAGGGGGCATCTGGACAAGCTATTTCACTGAGACAGACAATATTTTCTGAAAACTACCATCAAAATTAAGCAACTGTTGTGCATATGAACTAGATAACAATGAATTAGAAATAATTACTTAATTTCTGGTGGTGTGTGTGTACGTGTGAGTGTTGTTGTGGGGTGTTGGGGAGAAGGAAGGAGGTGTCAAAGAAGAGTGGGAATGTGGGAAAAGGCACAGCCCTAATTCCAGTCTTCAAACATTATCAAAACAGTGTTTGGGGCCATGTGCAGCTACACCAATAAAACCCATTGGAGAGAGACCACAGTCAGCCAGTCCCCTGGAGACCTGCGCTCCAGAAGCTTCTTCCTGCTGCCCTAAGATGCACCTTTGACAACTGTCACCTCCACCACACCTTGCCACACACAATTTCTTCATTATTCTCTCTTCTTCTTCTAATTTCTCTCAATGTTTCCTAGATGTCTCCATTTTTAAATGTATTTTTCTTTTCTCTCCCTCACTTTTCCCCTCTCCTCTCCCCGCCCGGTTTGTTTTTTTTTTGCTTCTGGGAAGCCAAGACCCATCATTTAATTGCTATATGACCAAGGACCAGCAACTTCACTTCCCTAAGCCTCAATTTTCTCCTTTAAAAAGATGATGAAAATCTTGCCTCACAGAATTGTTAGGATAACGAATCAAGACACTGTATATAAAGATACCTTATCTTTATTTTTGTTGTCCATGACATTTGTCTGATACCTTCTCAATGAGGGCATTGAATATAATCTACTGTTTCAAAATAGTATTTATCAACTATCCCATTTCTCATTTTCAAAATTCAGAACAGGATGTGAAAAATACCAGGTAGATTACCTTGGCACATATGGGGGAACAAAGAACAAGGGGTGAGAAACCACGTGAAGGAGTTACAGTGATTCAGAACAGTTTTGTCTGTGTCCCCATTAGTTGTAGCTTCTTCCCCAGGCAATGACTTAACCATGTTCAGATAGCTGCAACAATGAGCATTAAGCTTACAAAAATATGTTGTCAACTCAAACCTAAGGCAAACACTTTGACTCCAAGTGTTCACTGGGCATCTTCAAAGTCCTCTTAGTTGTTCCCATATGGCCTCTAAATTCCAGATTTCAGAATACTTAGGTTGAAAATTGTAACAGTAAAAGATTGTGTTGTTCGACCTTAAGCCGCTCTCAAAAGAGGGTAAAACTAAAGAAATCCACTTTTCGGTGAATTTTCTGGGAAAATAAAACACTGTCACAGATATATCAGCATTAGATAAAAACATACTCCAAATAGTAGGTTTTATCTATAAAATTTCCAAGGTGAAGCCTATCATTTTTAGAATTATGTAAAAAATAAAATTGGAAAGATTAAAATATTTGCTATGAGATGTCATTTTTTGGCTATCTGGGTGATAAGATACATAGCCAAATAAATCCCTGAGGAACTTAATAGACCCTCAAATGGGAGAGAGATCTCAGAATATAAAGGGTGCAATGTTGACATCATTGCTAAGGGTACATAGTCATAACCAATGTCAGATAATATAAAACACCAAAAACCCACTGCTGCTGAGTCGATTCTGACTCATAGCAACCCTATAGGACAGAGCAGAACTGCGCTATTGAGTTTCCAAGGCTGTAAATCTTTACGGAAGGAGACTGCTACATCTTTCACCTACTAAGTGGCTAGTGGGTTTGAACTGCTGACCTTTTGGTTAGCAGCTGAATGCTTTAACCACTGTGCCACCAGGGCTTCTAAGATAATACAAGGGACCTTAAATGAAAATGAGAACTCATTTGATGCAAATTTGTATCATGACTGCTCAAGATTCGATCCTATGTCTGACAATGAGAAGAAATATAAAGAAAAATTCCCATGAATGCATTATCCATGCCCATTTACTACACAGTCATATAGATGGTGACAAAAAGCATAAGCCCCTCTCTGCACATGGCATTGAGATAACCCCCAGAAACTGGAACATTTTTGGATTTTTGTCCTCACACAAGTCATCCATGAGCAGGGGTTGCGTTTTAATTGCTCTGTAAAGCACTGTCCTTCATATAACATGATGACTTTTACTGAATCCACATTGACAGATCTTGTGACTCATCTATGCTTTCCTTTAGTGGTACGGGGTGCAGCATGTCATGGTCTGATGATCTGAAATTGGCTTGCTGGGGATTAAGTCTTTTCGTGAATGAATGGGATGCCCTTTTCTAAAGTCAATCTGGATGTAGTGGGATTGAATCAGCAGTCTTGATGGCACTGTGATAGTACCTCCAAACAATCTACCCATGTCCTAATTTGCTCCTTACTTCCTGCTTTCAAACAAGTTGTGAAGTTGGAGGTTAGCTGTAACTTCTATTCTTTCATAAAACTGCAATGACAATGGAGATGGTGATAGAAGGAAGAGGCACGCATTGACCAGCTCATGGCCATCACTTTTGGTAAACTAGCTTTTTATACTTTGTAGATGGCAGTTTTACATTTATTGTAGTCAAACGTATTATTTTAATAAAGAGTCCTTCTAAAATGGCTTTTATTTTTTTAATTTTTAATTCAAAACACCTCTAAATACTTTAGGTGAATTAACAAAGTCAAGCAGAATTAATGGCTATGACCAGCATGGTAGAAGTTTAATCAGGCTGATATGTGAATTACCCTCATCCTTCCAACTGACTGTATGAGGGGCAGTGATGCAGAAAGCTGGCTCTGATCATAGCAAATTTCTTCCAGGGAACCATCCCAGCCACTCCACTCCTTCATCTCTATGCTGTGTACCAGCTTATCCTCCTCCGTTCACCAGTGCGTTTGTTTACATGTCAGTCCTCCTACTAGGTTCTGTGCACACGCAGGGTGGAGGCATGTCCTGTTCAAAGCTGTCTATCTTGCTACCTGGCACATGTGAAGATGTAATGAAGGAAGGAAGGGAGAATTGGGAACAACCTACTCTTGTGATCACATCACACACTACTGTTTATGTTGACTTATGCTCTGAGGTGTTCATGTGCTAGACTCAAATTGGTCTTCAAAGTCTCTGAACTTCTAAAAAGCTGAAAAAGGTGGTGCACACTTCTACAGAGAATGGTTATCTCAGTTCTTTAACAATATAGACAACTGGCTGATTCATCAGCAACAATAATGCAGCCATCTTCCTGATCAACAGCAAAAGAGGATCAATTATTGTAATAACTAGGGTTACATTTGCAATGATAGAGTCTAAACAGTGAAAGGCGCTGGCCACCAATTCTTTTGAATGACACTAAGTAGTCCATGGCTACTTAGGCCAAGTCAGGCAGCTCAAACTAGGAGATGAGAGCTAAAGGAATTCCTGTGCATCCAAGCACCTGGCTTTCAGGGTTGAAATTAAAGTGGAGCTTCCTTACTACCCTCAAGCCATTTCCAAGATAATCAAATACCCAAATGCATCTCCTTTACTTCAGGATTGGTAGACATCCAACATTCATGATCCAGAGCTTCAAAGGGTGACTCTATACATATGTAAGCTAACACAGTTCCTCCATGAAACCAAGAAAATGAATTTGACACAATTTGAAGATTCTTACTTGTCTCTGAATTTATTTCTTCATTGACCCTCTGGTTCAGAAAGAACTGGCAAGCCAACATTTCCATGTCCAATGACACAGTGTCCCTTACAGTTTGCTGTATCTTGAAGGGAGAGATGATGTAATCTCTCGTGCACTACAAACAATTGCAACCTTCATGGGGTTAAATTTCACTATTAATAGGGGAGGAACAACTCAAAAAGGAGAGTGAGAATGGTTGCACAACTCAAAGAATGTAATCAATGTCACTGAATTATCCATGTAGAAACTGTTGAATTGGCTTATGTTTCCTGTGTATATTCTCAACAACAACAAAATAAAAAAAACTTAAAAGTCACTATAATGACATGATATTTTAGGCAAGTGACAGGAAATGGAGGATTTGTTTATAAATTTCTTCTGAAATTTAAAATTATTTACCAAAATCTAAAACAAGGCACAGAGGTACATTTTGTCTAAACAGAAATGTGTAAAAAATAAAAATAAAAATAAAAAGTTTAGGAGGAAAAATCTAGTAATGCTCTGCAATCATGCTCTGTCTTAAACTTATTGATTGACATATTAAAACAATACCTCTTTCTCCTCTGTCTTTCCATGGGCTTTGCTATAGTTGATAGGAGTATCCCAGCCCTCTTGGTCACAGAGAGCCTGATAGAAGGCTGCATTGACCAAAAGGCTGCTTGCTTTGAATGGGGAAGAGGAAGAAGTCACAATGGAATTATTAGAGGAAGTTAGAGGTGTAGCCTTGTCCAGGATTCGATTTTTTTTCATGCTTAAATCCAATGTGCCATTTTCATCCACTTCTATCTCGGCTCCCTGGTATACAACAGGAAACAGAAAAACATTTCAGCAGTTTGCAGTTATAGCCTAGCCATGTGAGGCTTTTAAGGGATAATTTTAAATGCAAGCTTTTAAGTCAGTATATCTGATTTTAAATCTAGCTTTCTGATTTGCATTGGTTAATGTTCAATTCTTAGCAGACTTTTAAGAGCAGCCCCATTAGCAAGCTTTGTCTTTCTGGGTTTATACAAAATAAGCTTAATATAAATAAGATGTTTTCAAACAGTAAATGTATTGGTTAAGCCTGTTTAATTTTTTTTTTTTAAGTTTAGCTTTAAACCTTCTTTTCTAGTTTACAGAATTATCACTCCCAATTCATCATTTAAAGCATTAACACTTTAGTTTAACAAAAGACACAATAAAATTTGCCAAACCACCAAATCACAATAATCATCTAAAATCAAAAATACGCAAAAATAACCAGCTGGAAGAGAATTTTTACTGGAATATTAAATCAATACAAAAGCAAAGTTTTACCCTAGGTTATCTGAAGTGGAAAAGCTTTGTTAAATTATGTGAGGAAAAAAAAAAAAAAACCCAGAAAGTGCAAATCATACTTCACTCTGGGTGCCTCTTTGCTGGCAGCTCCATGGTTTGGGTTTAAGTTCTACCGTGAGGGCTTCAGGATAAAGGGGATTATTTTCCACGTTCTTAATACAGACTTAAAACTAATTCCATCTCATGACGTTCACTTATGGAATACCTTTTGCCAGTTTTTTTTTTTTTAAGAACAGTACCTGTCTTTAGTTCAAATCCTAACAAACTATCCATGAGATCTGCATATTCCAAGTGATATGCGCTATAGGATGGCTTAGATGGGGTCAGGAATTGTAAACATTGCCATGTAATAACGCTGTCATTTTTCTAATTGGGTCAAATGAACATCTTTCTGGTATTTCACCATCATCCAACAATTCATAATTAACTTCTAAACAATTTCTCTATACTTTTCCCTTTTGACTGGCAAAGCTGTAGAATTCTTTGAATATGTTAGCAAGATCCATAAAGCTTGTGGTAGCCAGTTATTCCCCTGGATTTATTTTAACTCTCCCACACATATCTCCCCTCCCAACAGTTGCCGTTGATGGCATGGGCACGCTGGCCAAGTTCCAAGGGCTTGCTGCTTGCGCTTGATTTAGAAAATAAAAGCATCTCTTCTGTTCACTTGTTTTACCTGCAGAGTTCATATTTTCAATCTCTCAGTTTAAGAGAGAGAGATGCTTTATGATATTTGTGGGAAGTAAATATACTTCTAATATGTTTGTACTAAGATGCTTTGGCCAAAATCTTTTTGTCCATTTTTAGTAAATAGTTTAATCTCCCATGATAGTTTTAAGCCCTGAATTTGACAGTACAGCTTATCCAGGATAATAACTTAGAAACCACAACATCTTATGCCATCTGTATAATATCAGATATGTTTTTATACCAGCATTAATAAACCTTAGTTACTAAAATCCACAATATTAACTATATCAGTGCCAGGTGCCCTCTCCAGGATATTACAGTATACTCTGCTATGAACACCTTCACATTTTTGGCTTCAGTGTTGATATGTAACTATAGCAATGAAGCAGAGCTATAGCAATCAAGTTTAATGGCCAGTGTAAAGTAAAATGCTAAATATTGTAGTTGCTGACATTTTTCATAAAAAAAACAAAAAAAACCTTGGGTTAAGACTGCACAACCAATATTCACATAAAATTCCAGACCTCTGTGACAGATGGCTTAGGAAAAGTAAGCCATGTGACTGGGCTGCAGAGTTTTATAGTGCAAAACCCATAAATAGTACAGATTCTCTAACACTGAAAAAAATATCAACTACTCTAAGACAATACCAATATGTATTTGCATTTTTTACAGAAAAAAATCCAAATAGTAAATTTTAAAAAATATTAAGAGATTTCAGGAATTGTTATGATTATACATCGTGAGTAATCATGACTTGATTGAAAAACTGTCACTCTGTGGTGACAAGAGCCTTTCCTCCTTCTTGCACCCAGGCTGGCTGCCCCGGGAGCACCTGACAAGGGAGGCTTGCTATGCACTCTGTGTGGCCAGGCACAGGTGGGCTTCAAGTGAGCGCACAGATGCACTCAACAATTACACACAGCGACAGAGAAAGCCTTTCCTGCCTGTAGAGGCGCAAGTTTACAACATGTAGTTTTATTCAGAGCAGCATCAATAGACATCACTTCTCTCTGTGCTTCAGACTCTAAATGGCAGTACAAAAGGGGGCAGGAGAGGCCACAGGAGCAAAGTAGGAAACTGAGCCACAGCTGGTATGTTTTCCCCCTAGACATCTAATACCCTGATTTCTCAAAGTGCTTTTTTAGATCCTTATTTTGGTTTTTAAAGTTTTCTAAAATTTATGTTTTTCGAACCTAGGCAAATTCATTCATTTTCTGACATAGTAAGGACATCAGAGTCCCATGTCTATCTACTGATGTTATGTACAAGTCATTTATTCATTAGCTTGCTGAGAAGTAAGCTTACAGACTGCACAGGGCACAGAGTCTCCACAGGGAGAGTGAGAACACATCCAGGAAATAAGCTATTTGATTTTTCAAAAGTGTGCCAATTTTATAGTCAATTTTTCTGACCAGAAATGTGTTTCAAGAAAAGAGGAATACACACTGATAAGGAAAAAACAAAAAACTCAGATTATAGTCATCTTTATCTGATTCATTATTCAGCTTTGTTAATTAATAGAACATGGAGAACAAAGTTAAAGACAGAATTCTGAGGGGTGTTTGACATTTTCAGGTTACTATGTTTTGGGGAAAAAGAAAATTGAAAAATACCTTGGTCTTGCCTTCAGGAAGTTTATTTTATGCATACAGGAGCTTCTTAGTGAAATTTAATAAATTTCTTAGTAATTTAATACACATATTATGAATTATTATTAAACTAGAAGTTTAAATAATTACGCATTATAATCCTTACCTGTACTATAAGATAAACTATTTAGATGCTCACCAACAGAGAAATGATTAATCAAATTATGCTACATCTTGTTAGTGGAACATTATAGAGTAAATAGAATGATAATTATGAAAACTATGTAGCAACATGGAAAATATGTATATAAATGAAAGCAGGAAAACCACATGGCATTCATACTTACAATGATGTAAAGCATACAGAAATTCATTTTCTTTGAAGAAGAACAAAATAGAAAATACAAAAATCACTGTAGTTGTATTTAGAAGATAGACGTATGGCTGCTTTCTCTAATATTTTCCAGACAAATGATAGCATTACATTGTTTCAACAATTATAAATTATCATGCATTTAAAGATGGTGATGAAGAAAAAACAAAATTATAATTTTACCTTAACTGGCCTGATGGTAAAACTTCTGTCAAAACGTTGATAAAACAAGACCACATTGCTTTCTTACTTGGCAAGCTTCCTACTCCTGCATGACGGCCGCTGCCGTCTTTCCTTTATGACTTGGCTCAGAGGAAGTGAAGAACTCAGTGGTACATGTTCTTCCACTCTCACTTCAGGGTTTTTGTTAGGGAGGTGGAATTTTTTCTATTTTGTAAGCTGTCTTAAATAAGTTTTCAAAGTAGGCAGGGTATTCACAACAAACCAATGAGTTGAAAATATTTTATTCTTACTAAATAATAATCGGAGCCCGGGTGGCATAGTGGTTAAGAGCTCAGCTGCTAACCAAAAGGTCAGCAGTTAAAATCCACCAGCCGCTCCTTGGAAACTCTATGGGCAGTTCTACTCTGTCCTACAGGGTTGCTATGAGTCAGAACGGACTCGACGGCACCTAACAACAACAAATAATAATTGAGTACTGAGTATTAAGAGAGTATAACCTTATATATATATATACTCAACATAAATAGAATGATAGAATTCAGAGGAAAACTAAGTGACTAATACAAGGTATAAAAGTAATACAAAATTTATAACCCTTTCCCAAAAATCTTTGTCTGGGACTTGGAAACATATCTGGAAATGCTTGGGTGAGTGGACAGTCTATATACCATGTAATGGTAAAATCTTTGAAGTGAAATTTCAATTCCAACAGTTATAGCTGTGCCGCTAGAAGCAAATTATTTAATATTTCTGAGCAACTGTTTCTTCTTCTGCAAAACTGTATAATAATATCTGCGTAACAGAGTTTCTAGAAGGATTGCAAAGAGTTAATACTGGCAAAGTGCTTGTTTACGGTGTCTGACACATCCAAACCCAAACCAAACCCATTGCCATGGAGTCGATTCCACATCATAGTGACCATAAAGGACAGAGAAGAACTGCCCCATAGGGTTCTCAAGGAGTGGCTGGTGGGTTCAAACTGACAACCTTTTGGTTAACAGCTGTAGCTCTTAACAGCTACGCCACCATGGCCCCATCTGACACATAGTAGGTGTTAAATAAATGACACCTAGTACTAATAATTTGATTCGAGTTTTGACTCATCAAGGTCAGATTATCCAATAGGCAAGGTAAGCACGGTGCTTACCTTGCTTACCAGATCATCTGTAGTGAACAGTTTCACATTTTTTCACCACATCAAAGAGTCTGCTTCTAGGTATGGCTGGTTTCTGTCTCTCTCCCAAGCCCACAGCACGCTCCTACAGGATCAAAGCCTCTTTTCAAATTTACAATCCCTGACAGGGATGGATGACCTAGAAAGCATGGTAAGCACGGGCCTACTTGTGCTTACTTACTAATCTGTAGTGAAGTTGTTCACTACAGATGATCTGGTAAGCAAGGTAAGCACCGTGCTTACCTTACCTATTGAACAATCTGCCCCTGCAATTCATAGCAACCCTATAGGACAGAGTAGAACTGCCCCAGAGGGTTTCTAAGGCTGTAGTCTTTACAGATGCATACTGCCACATCTTTGTCCTACAGAGCCACTTGTGGGTTCGAACTTCTGACCCTTCTGTTAGCAGCAGAGTGCTTAACCAACCATTCTGCCACCAGGGCTCCTTTCAGTTACCATATTGGTGGGAGGAGTAAAGAGCCCACTACTAAATATGACGTTTCTCCACACGGAGGTCAATTGCTTCCTTGTGATACCTGACCAAAGACCCTCCTTACATTTTACTCACAATATCTGCTGTGAGCCATTCGATGTCAAAGCTACTGAAAAATGCTGCATCTGGATCCTAATCACACAGACAGCCACCAGGCTATTTCTCCTATTAGGCAGAAAGAATGGTGAGGTGACATCATGTTGTTTCTAGGCCTCGTTCAAGCACAAAACAGACTTTGAACTTTAAACATTTTATGCAAGTGTCATTTTTTTTGTTTTCTTTAAGGCACGCATGCATATGCCATTTTGTCTAAACAGGTGGGGAAAACACCAAAACAAACAACAGAATGCTTGGCAAGCCGCAGAGATCGGGATAAAGATAGACTGCAAAGTGTGTTCCTACCTCTGTTGATAAGAGTGGGAGGAAGGAAGAAAAATGGAGCATTTATCTGCCATGTGCAGGCGCTGCTCTCAGCAGGGATGGGGATGCTCTGGGCATACTGATGCCCCAGGACTGCTTGACTCATGCCCATGTGAGAGCATGCCCTGTGTGCTCAAATCAGGAGCAAGTCACCAGGCCCAAGGGCAGTCACTGGCAGCTGTGCTCCATGTATAGTTTACAATCTACATTAATTTAAAATTAAAACGGAGAATATTCCCTGTATCTTAGAAGCAATGAAGTACTGGAATCAAGAGAGAGCTAATACTTCAAACAAATTATCTCTAACCATTATGATATCTGCTAAGTAGTGATATTGCTAATTTTTAATTCTGACTTGATTCCTCAGAGAGATACTTTGAGGTGATTTTGGTGGTGGGAATACGAGTTATATACATACTAGGTTGTATTTTAACAAATAACTAATTTTTAAAAATACTCCTACTTTCAGGATAGGATGAACTAATTTGTGCAGTGATCGGCAATGTTAAAAAGAATACTAATATCCTCTGCACAGAACCTGCCGTGTACCTGCTTCACAGATGCTTGTGACTGAATGGGCCTGTGACAACAGCATCCCTTCAGGTTTGGAGGGCAGCACAGGAGGGAAGTGTCTTGTGTCAGGTAGACAGGTGCTTGGTCCTAAGGAACTTTGGAAAGAGAAGAACATTTTGGAATATCCATATCTTCCATCATTATTTTTAGAGCTGGTAGGAACTTAAAGTCCTCCTGCCCCTCTGAAAACAATCTCTGATCCCATTATCTTCCACGGGAGTAGTGATCTTTGCAAATCACTGATTCACATCTCTCTCTAAACTTGGGGTCAGTTGTGAACTTGCACATAGCATGAAAAGTCTGTGTTAGCCTCAGTGAAGTTGAAAGCAAATATCAAGGTTAGTCCCTTGGCTTGATATTAAAAACGTAATGTTCACTGGTGACGGTATTATCTGTTATTTGTTCTCCTGTTGGGTTCTGTATGCAAGTTAAGAGATGCTCATTACATAAAATGCAGTGCCTAGGTGGCACAGACAATTAAGCACTTGACTATTAGTGGAAAGGATGGTGATTCAAACCCACCCAGAAGCCCCTGAGGAGACAGGCCTGGCGATCTGCTGCTGAAAGGTCCAACCCAACCCAAACTAAACCTAGTGCCACCGAGAACCGTTCCCATAGGGTTTCCAAGGTTGTAATCTTTACAGAAGCAGACTGCCATATCTTTCTCCCACAGAGCAGCTGGTAGGTTTGAACTGCTGACCTTCTGGTTAGTAGCTGAGCACTTAACCACTGTGCCACCAGGGCCCCTCTGAAAGGTCACAGCCTTGGAGACTGTTCCCTATGGAACGGTTCTAGTCTGCACACATGGGGTCACCATGAGTCACAATAAACTCCAGAGTATCTAACAACAACAGCATTACATAAAAGCAAGGGCTGGATGGGGGCAGAAGGAAAATAAGAAATCTGCCCTCACTATGCTCTGGTCAAACTCTGCAGAGCCAGCCACAGTTCCCAGAATGTCAGGAATCATGTCTCTGCAAACTCTGCCCCTCTCTTGGCACAAACCCAAGGTATAGCTACCAAAAGGTGGCTTCTTTTGTCTTGCTTGTCCGTAAATTCACTTAAGGAAGGGCCATGACTGAATTGAATCTTCAGCCTGGGCACTTTGACACTTAAAGTCATTTTGGGTGATACAAACATAAGTCCATTTGCTGGTATGTCTCTTTCATACATTAAAAGTTCTCAGCTATAGGAGTCAGGAGAGGGGGAAAAGCTGTACATCAGCACCTCCTCAAGGGATCGGGACTGTCAGAAATAAACGTAGTAACAACCTGACATGGAAGAAAGAGCTAATCCTTCTTAGACTTAAGAAGTAGAAAGAGAATTAGGCTAGCACTGAATGTGGAAGAGAAGGCTGTTTATACTTTATCAACGATAGCTAAAGGCACAGAGTAAACACAGTGCTGGACACAGAAAAGGCCTTCACTGGGCACTGTTTGTCCAGAGGTTGTATTTCAGGTTTAATTACTGGGCTTTTTCTCACTTTTGCTAACATAATTATTATTTTTTTCTTGTTTCAGGAATTTATGCTACTCTCCGCTATATTCAGAAAGTAAGATTCAACTAGGACAGAAGTCAGCAAATTGTTGAAGTTGTGTGCAAGTGTGTATGTGTGTTGGCGCACACCCCGGAGAAAGGATACTGCACAGAGCAACATTGCAGGGCTCCATATATTTATCTCATTTTAGTAACCACTGTGTAAAATGAGACAATTGTCATGGGAAAATAATTTCTATAATCACCAGCATAACAAACACATTAAAAAAAATCAGTCTGGACACTTTCTGTCTCTTACATCATCATCACATCAATTGTGTGGCTTCTAAAACGAAAGCTCAGTTGTCAGCATGGCAGATGGGACAAGGCCGGAGAGAGTCTCCTCACCCTTGTGTGCCGTGTCCTTCACCAAGCAAGCATCTGGGAGGAGAGGGAGAGTGTGTGTAGAAAGTGGGTTGTTTGATTTTTTAAAATGTGTGGATTTAACAGTTACTTTTCTGACCAGAAATGGTGTTTTAAGAAGAAAGGAATATATATTGAGAAAGAAAAAAATCCTCAGGTTGCAGTCATCTTTATCTAATTCATTCAGTACTTAATAGATTATAGAGAATCTCAAGGTTAAAGGCAGAATTCTGGGGAACAAAACAATGCCCCCACTTGCAGGTGGGAAGCAGTCATTACAGAGCCACTTGCTCTTCACTTAAGTAGTATCTATGATTATAATATTGGCCACTTTACTCTTACAGGACAGACTAACCAACAAAAGTAATAATGCACTTAGAAGGAAGATATTCCAGTATTTCTTCAATTAGCTGCGTATTAGAATGTTCTTTAAAACAGAGAAATTCAAGTTTAAAAAAGGAATTTAAAAATAACTAAAGTTGCTTTTTAAAATTCCCCAAATTATTCATTTATATAAACAACTTCTAATTTGGATTACTTTGAATTTGAACAGCTTGGTATTTTCTTTAGATTTTTAGAAGGTGTATTTTTCTTTGTGTAACAATCTTATTTGTTTAGAAATTGTTTGTGAGTGGTTTTTGGCCACCAACTCTTCCTGGGGTTTATTTGGCTCTGCTTTGTCCAGAAGCTAATTCTGCTTCCTCTGTCAAACGCTCTGTAGCATCGTGCTGCCCACTCTCCTGAAGCTCTGGCACATGGGCCCAGGTGAACAGCTGATCACACGGTGGGTCAGGGCTGGGCTTAAGAAAAGAGCAATATACTTTTATCACCTGAGTTTCAAAGATAGAGTTTAACCCAGTGAACTTTCCATTGAAAGCAAGGGTAACACTCATTTAAAACACATCTGGGCATTTTACTTCTGCTGGCCTCAGCCATCAATTTTGGAAAACGTTTATTTTTTAACTGAAGCCCTTTGTGTCAACATGAAGACAGGAGTCACTGGCTGCAGAGGCTGCAGGAGCAAATGGCCGAGCAACTCTGACAGCCTCCTGGTGGTGACTGCTACTCTGTTGCATGATAAACTGTCACTGTCAAAAGGCAAGGCAAGGGGGATTCTTGTTTTTGTTTTCATAGAGTATTATCAGCATGCATGTGTACTTCTCATTGGTAGCTGGAAAGGAGAGTTATTAGAGAAATGTGAACAATCTTATGGGCTGTAGAAATGTTTCATAAACTTCGCAGAATGTGGTTTTCAATTTGGATACCCTGAGTACTCACGCCCTCAAACCAGACCCTCTCTATTTTATTTATCAAGGTTTTACTATGTGTACTCTCAGAATACCACAGCAATTTAGACTACCTTACAATATACAGTAGCAACATGGGCAATAGTAAAATTCCATGAGTCACTTTTGCAAATGTTTTACAAGTCACATTTAATCAAACCATTCTTACCATCTTTGATTTGTAGACAACAAAAAGCTTCCTTATTGAAATTTATTTTCATTGCAATTCTCTTCTTATGTACTAAACTCCCCATAACAAAAATACGTTTGAATTCAGTGAACTCTCCCCAGTCAGTCTCCATAACTTACTCCTCCTCAAGCTTTGGTATACCACCTCCAAGAAGAGCCACAGAAAAATGCACACAGCCTTCCATTCTTTATCAGTGGACCCAAGCTCATCACCACCAGTGTTCCTCTGACTCTTCCTAGGACAGGGAGAGGGACGTGCTTTCTGGGGAAGGGTGATGAGTATGGGTGAATGTGGCTGTGAACATGAAGGCAGTTTACTCTCACGGCTCAGTAGCTGGCCCCCCTCTGGATTCTTGGACGGGCCTACCTTGGCAGACAGACACTGCGGTTTGTTGGAGAGGATCTCGGCAGCTTCCCTGCAGCGGGTGGAAAGGTTCAGGATGGCAGCAGCTGCTGCTATGTGGGTGTCTTCACTACACTGACCGTAGCTGTAAGAGCTGGCACGGCAAGGGCTCTGTGTGTGGGCGCCTGCACTAGGCAATCGGCTTGGAAATATCAGTGGGTTTGAAAAATGCTTTGCTGTTGAAGAAAGATGTGATTAGTGATTTCATGTATGTAGCTTTAGTCATTAAATAGGTTGTTTGTAAGCTATAACTTCTTCCATTAATATATGGAAAGAATAAATTAAAACATGATCGATTGGGACATTAAATGAAGGTTATTTGGACTGGCTTTAACAGAGGCTCACAGATCAAAGAACGTGGTTGCTGGGAGAGAATGCCTATTCTCTTAATACTATTTGTATTTTCATTTCTTCTGACAAAAACTCTATAAGTAATGTTATGGGGCGGGTGCATTGGCAAAGTTTGTGACAAAAATTATAGATCAAAACCACACTAGCAAAATCCACCAAGTATTACTGACGCTCGAGGCATGCATATCTCAAAACTGGACAAATATAAGAACAGATTAAGGCCAGGTAAAGGAGAAATCTAGCCTTTTGATTTGTGTTTTCACAAAACAGTTTATACTTAGATTTCAAATTACATTTTTATTATCTGATATATATGATCACTTTGTACTTAAGCCATAGAAGTTGTTCTTCAACCAACCAAATAGATGACAGAGTCTTGACTGAGTTGGCATCTTGCACACTCAGGTAGGGTGCAATAAGCAAAGGACAATGAGAAAACGTCTCAAGGTGAACAGAAAGGCCAGTTAGATATCAAGGCTGAGTTTGGGTTTTGTTTCTGTCATGGGTGCCAAGGCATACTGAGAAGTAGAATTTAACATCTTTGTCCTCACTCTGATGTTTGTAAATATCACTCAGGATTACGGGGGAAGTATCTAAGACTTAATGTGGGATAATATCAAAGCATTTAGTTACTGATTTGCTTTAAATATTGTTTAAGTATTTGATCATTACTTTTCATAAGCTAAAATTTAAACCATCAAAAATATTATTTCTATATTTTAAGAATATGGAAATTTCATTGAATATTTTGCATTCTTTAAATTAAGATGCATATTATACAAGTATATAGAATGCTTTCATTAACTAGCTTCACTTGAATTAAGCATATATGTATGAGTGTATGGATTTTTGCATATAGTGTGTTCATATGTATACATAATAAAATATACACAAAAATTGTGTATATTTATAAGTGTGTGTATAACTCTTTTTTTCCTGAATTAAACAGTGGTTATTTATGTCTGGGGTCTATTTTTGTTAAGAATAGGTAAAATCAAGTATCTTTTGAAGCATAATGTGCTTCTCATAGATGGGCAAACTTCTTTCAAGAATGATTGTCCACTGCTAGGTTTTACAGGGAATTCTAGCTCTTTGAAAGAGTTGATCAACATCATATACTGAGGCAAATATTCTCTGTTCCTAAGATCACTCAGTCTAGGTAATTTGGTGTGAGACCAAAGAGATTCCATGGGTTTGTAGAAAGTTGTAGAAAATTTGTGGCCCAAGGAGGACTTAAAGTGGGGAATTACTTAGATTCTTCCTTAACGAAGAGTAAGTTATGAGAAGAATAAGTTGCTATAATGCAGAAAGCATTCCCTGTGTTTGTTCACAACCTTCACTTCTTCACCTTTTCATTAGAATATTCAAGGACTATAAATAATTTGAAGAAATGTGCTAGTGAAAACATTTGTTTTATATATTATACCACCTTTGAGTTATGGTCTTCTAAATGGATATGTTAGCATTACAGAGTATTAACACATTTTACATGTTTCTGTATTAATTCCTAAATTTGTGGGTAAATATCTCCACAGCCACAGGAACACACATTTTATTCTAGCAAAAACTTGACTCCTGAAATGTGAATTTCTTCTTAGTCTTTTCACCATTTTCCCCATCTTCAGACTAAATGTTTTGCTGATTTAAATGATTTTTCAGTAATATTTCAACATTTTATCTATTAATTTTCCATAATTCCAATATGAATCAAAATTACAATATTATAATCACTATTATATTTTTCAATATATTAATCTCAATCCTAGCTAACTGTGAATTAAATAATTGTCTAGAATTACTGTATTTAGATAAATAATGACACTATATTTGTAGAATAAAGTACTCCATTAAGTATTCACCATCTTCGGTGTATAATCAATTACACTGATCAACTTATTATTGTTTTCCTTAATTCATTTTACTAGATAATATATTTTCTCTCCTCCCACCTGTAAAGAGCATATTATATATTTGAGAACTCTCTCTCTCTCTCTCTCTCTCTCTCTCACACACACACTTTTTTGGAGAAAGTATTAGGATTGGAAGCTTACATTCAGAAAATGGTGGTGTTTTTTGTCCTTGCCCTGTTTGTAGGAGGGGGCGCTTGCCAAAAACCTGGGCATCAAAACTGGCATAATCAAACGGTACTCTTCCAAACTTCTCTTGTTCTTTTGACACAGTGGCTCTGGGAGAGATTATGGCTTGTGATCGGAAATTGAATTCAATTTGCTTCACTAAGCTTGCCCTAGAGAGAGAGGAGGATAGTTCAAAAGAAGTAAAACTATTGGTGAGCATATTAGTATCAGAACTGGAAATGGACTGGATGTGTAACTAACGCTGGGTCCCACAGAGACATCACACTGTATAGAGAGCTGAGTTACAGATCTGAGGAGGCTCTTTGTGCTCTGCAGGAGCTATGGTGATGGGCATATTCTGTGTCCCAGTCTCACATGGGTATAATGGGAATATGCAGATGCCACGAGGAGCATGCATTCAATGTTTGTTAACACTTTGGGCTTGTTAGAGAAAAGTGCCATCAGCAGGCACTGGTTAGTGCACTGACAAGATATGCACAAACAGCTTGTTAAGTCAGGTTAGCAGTGAATACTCATGGTTGTAACTCGTGAGGAAATGTAATCATATTCTGTTCAGAAGAACTGGTGCTGAGTTCCACTCAGCTCTGCAGAGCTGGCAGAAGCCTGGCACCCAACAGGGACAGCATAGACACCAAACACTTGGTTCCTGAATTTTGAGTTTCTTCTTAGACATTTCACCATCTCCCCCTACTTTCAATCTGTTTTGCTGAATTAAGTAATGTTTTAAATAGTAGTTCAATGTTTTATCTATTAAATTTACATAATTTCAACATTAATCAAAATTACTGTATTATAGTAGCTATTTTTCATTATAGTTATCCCCACCCTAGCTAAATGTGAATTAAACATTCCTTTAAAATTACTGTGTTTGAATTAAACAATGGCACCATATTTGCATAGCACCAACTCCAGCCAAGGAGACACAAATGTATTGCAGGCCAACGGTAAAAGAACATAAACATACCTTTTAGAGTTTAGAAATTTCAAAAATATAGTTTTTTTCTTGTGTTCCACAAAAACACACCTGACTTATCAGAATGTCAAAACTTCAATGCTATTTTTTGGATTAGGTAAAAAAATATTTAGCTGCTACATGAAAATCTTCCAGTGATGGCTGATCTGATTGTATGAATAACTTAGTTCATACCCCTAAATTTGCATCAATGTTCTAATCTAAGACAATATTTATCTTTTAATAAATGAGCAAAATGAAACTCAATGCTGTTTATATATTTGATAAGTAACCTACTTAAGGGAGAAATTAGATAATACAATAATATTAACCAAGAATCCTGTTTTAAGATGTATAATTCTGAGTTATACAGTATTCATGATCTTCACTTGACATTTATTTTTCACTGATGTGATCTGAATGTCAGTTTGAGTCTTTTATTTAAATCTATGGAAGCAAAATATTAAGGAAAACATATCCTGACAATACTGAAACTCCTAATAACTTTCTATTTCAGTGACTCAGTAGGAATAATGAATATCTGGTGTCTATCTGAATCCTGAAATGACTTTTCCTAACTTTATGGTTTTTGTACAGATAAATGAATAACTCAATGTCAAGCATCATCATATGTATTTTATAATCAAGGCATAAGGCCTTCCAAACCACTGTACACTGTGGGGGACCTGGAAGCTACCAGGAACAGTAGGAGATATGTTATTAACAGTTATCAACTCATGGGACGATTTTTGTTTTAAAGAAACCAAAACCAAACCAATTGCCATTGAGTCAATTTTGATCCATGGTGACTTCATGTGTGTCAGAGTAGAACTGCTCCGCAGGGTTTTCAAGGCTGTGACCTTTCCAGCCTGCTTTTGAGGTGCCTGTGGGTGGACTAGAACCACCAACCTTTCAGTTAGCAGCTGAGTGTTTAACTAGTTGTGCCACCCAGTCACTCCATATGTGGAACAGAGGATGGATATGCATAGCATTATATGTTTTGAGTAGATATGAGTGATTTATGATGGCATTTTCTCCAGGCTTACTGAGAGCTTACTGGACCAGTACGACTGGTTACATGTACTGACTCAGAATTTTTTATTAGTATATGTACTCGTATAGTTTATTTCTTTTGAATTTACCCACTTTATGTTAGATTTGGAAACCTTGGTGGTGTAGTGGTGAAGAGCTACAGCTGCTAATCAAAAGGTCAGCAGTTCAAATCTACCAGGCACTTCTTGGAAACCCTACAGGGTAGTTCTACTTAGTCCTATTGGGTGTCTATGAGTCAGAATGAACTATTTGCATATGGATTAATTTCAAGTTAAACTCTTGGAGGGATGATATAATTAACTAGCCCAGCTTCTCACTGGGCTGTGCACGCAGGTCTCTGGGTAGCTGAGAATGAAGGTCAGGCCACAGTGAGGCTGGCTTGTGACGGATGAGAGGTCTCATTGTATAAAAGCATGACACGAACTGGGATCAGGAACATCACCTGAGCTTCATACCTGTGAACCTGGTCAGGACACTGCCCGCTTTTGAGAGAATCAAGCTGATTTTTATCCTGGGACATTGTCAATTTTTCAGCTGCAGCAATTGGACAACCAGAAAGACTGTTTTAAAAAAAAGTGGGAGGATTTGAGTTAAAATGATAATGGAGTTTGCCTTTGCATGTGCCTCACAGCATACTTGGCACACGCTAAATGTTAGGTCATATTAATAGTTCACTTAGCACCAGAATCACATTAAAAGATGCCAAAGGGCTTTCAAACTACAGTGTCCACTCTTTTCCCCAATCCTATCTCAGAGGTGAAAGGTAACAAACTGATTTTTTAAATCAAAGTATTATATAAGGGAGAAATGACTAAATTATATACATAAACTTCTTAATATTTTAAGTGGAATGTACTCACTTAAATTACCATATGTCCAATCACAGGAGTCAGCATGGTAACTCCATGACTCATCTAAGGATTTTAGTAAAATTTTAGTGACTTAATTTTATATCTTAGTTTAAACTGAAAGTGTAGGATATAGAGTTTTCTGGTAACATGTCATACTAATACTTCATGGCCACATAATCTATGCATAATATAAACAGACATATAAAACAATAAACATCTTCATCAAAATATTTATGCACAATACATTTCTATATAAATATGCATATATATATATTTTATGTTAGTAACAACCTCAAAGAAATGATATCTACCTTAAGCCTGGTTTACAGTCAAAACCATTGTATACTGAAGCCCTTTTGGCACCTTTTTAGTACTTGTTGGAGATGAACCAAGATAATCCTTACATAACTCTTTTCAACAGCAAGACAGCTATGGTGAGGTTCCACAGCAAAAAAGAACATTTTCTATTTATAGAGGTAATGACATGAATATATAATTCCAGCCACTTTAAAATATAATTTTTTGTGGGGGGTGGGGGGTGGGGCTAGTTTAATTAGCTGCTAACATTGCTAACATAAAAGTTTCTAGGAAAATATAATAAGGTATTTTTTCTTTTTTAATCTGCACATAGTGAGAATAGTTTTTATCTATTTCAAGTGGTGTTTGATAGTGAGGCAATGATTTGTTAGTTCATTATTTTATTGGTGGAAAGTTTCTCTCAGTATTTTTACTTTAATGTCAAATGAGGAGCTTCTCCCCAGAATCACCTTCGGTGGGTGTTACGGTTGCTGTTCACGTGGCCTCGTCCTGTGCAGCCTGGGGTGGGACACTTGAGCACATTTTCATGCATGGCAAGGACTAAGCACAAAACAGGACATAAAAAAAAAAAAAGGATAAATTTACCATAAATACATAACACACTAGCAAAGTTATTTCTTAGTTTTTCATTCAAATTAATTTAGTTATGGAATCCACCATGTCCCCTCCCCATGTTCAAATTAAAACAAATGAGCACTTAAGACCTCCAAAAGCTAAATTCAACAAGCTTGTCCAAATTTTAATTTCTCTAAACCTCTGTTGTGGTTGACACTAGACTTAAAAAAGACTATTCATGTTATTTTTAGTTTAAACTGAAATGCTCACAACCTTCCTTTTCCACTTGTGTGCTTTTCTTCGGGGCAGGTGGAGATCAGTATTTGTCCAACACTTACTTCTTTTTGCCACAGTGTGAAATTCTGAATATAGTCTTCTTTATTTCTTAAGCGAAATTATTTTGATTCTTTGTCTGTTCTCCCCACCCCTACTGCCATTTGGTTACTGGAGAAAGCTTGGTTGAGACTGAAACTGGTGATCAGTCTGAGGAGCTGCTAGTCCTGAAGGGCAGTACTGAGCTGATTGGGTTCAGCGATTTATAAAATCTTGCTCTTGAGAAGGGTGATGTTGAGATGCTCTCAGGGTCGCAGTTTGTATAATGCAAAAGGTGTTTCCACAAGTAAGTTCAAAAAGCAGAGGATAGAACATGTTGATTAGTGGAGACTCAGAGAAGGTGGTCCTTGCCTTTCGTCTCTGGTTTCCTACCCGACAGTGGGGCTGTGGCTGGAGTGACTAAGGTTCACTCTCATCCAGGCTCTCACTACCGCTGGGCATGCTGAGATGGCATTGAAGCATGTGTGTTCCCACTGGTGAGGGTGGCCCCAGGACATCCCTGACTGCCGCGATGCCCCCATGTTTAGATGATGCACCAGGAGGAAGCCACCTTTTGGGCTCAAGTAAGCTGGGCCTCTGGGTCAGAGGGGCTGTGCAGGCTCAAGCCAAGACACTGAGAGAAAACTTAACATTTCCATTGCAAATTCCAAATTGGAAGAGCAAGATGAAGGTATTCTGGAGCTTTGCATACAAGCCTACCTCTTTGGGGTTAGAAAATACTCACTCTCCAGGGGTACCCGCACTTTGTGGGGGCAGCCCGAGAGGCTGCGGTGGTGCGGGTAGAGCCCAGTCACGTGCCCCGTGCCGTCGCACCCCGGGATGGGGCACTTCGTCTCCCTCTTGTCAGGCCTTGGCAAGTCTGTGGAAAGATCAGATGCAGAGAGTCATTGGGTTATTTTTCCTCCCGCCCCATTCAATCTTGCGGCCTTGGGGACCTGACACCTCCACTTGGTTCAGTTCTAGAGTCATGAGCATTCTTCTCACATTGCCTTGATTAAGACCCTCAACTAAGACCTGTGGAAACAGAAAAATGTTTTCAATTTCCTTGGTTTCCTAAGCAAAGGCTGACACAGGGCAAGGGAGTGCTAAAATGCAGAGATGGTTTTAAGTTGTCATGTCACATATTGTTGTTAGAGCCTCATTATGACAAGTCGACCTACCCAGAGGATGCACGGGCGCCCCGCAAGAAAAAAAAAAAATGTGAGAGAGAAGAAACAAGCTATTCAAGCCAAAACCATCTCCCATTAAAAGAGTCTGGAACCAGCCTGAGTCAGTTACAAAACAAAGAAGCCATAGCTATCATATCTGACAAGGCCCCTCTGGCATGTGCCTGCGGGTGCCTGGCAGCCTCAGTCAGGGACCCAGGGTGCAGCAGCCCTTTGTGTCCAGTGCCTCCAGCTCTGCAGATCAGTGTGCATGGGCGTTCAGGCCAGGTGGGTCCTTAAGCTGTCCTCTGCCATCCCACAGCCTCCCTTCCTACCAGTCAGTCCCAGGCTCCCACACCCCGTAGTATGCTGCCCTGTAAGATGCATATACAGGGACTTGGAACAAAAGCCTGAGGGAGAGGCCCTTTCCGGACACTCAAAGGGACCAGAAGTACTTAAGGAGGGGTGCCATGTGTGGACTGGGGAGTGTGGCCTAGCACAGGGGGTGTCAGCAGAGGAGGGATGGGCGGGGGTGGGTGGCAACAGCTGCAATGGGCAAAAAAAGAGAGGCATTCAACCTGGTTTTTTCAGCTGCCACAAGGTTGGACCTGAGAAAGGAGTGCTGGAGACACCCCAGGGGCTCATTTCCTGGCACGCACTGCTGAGGGGTAGAGAAAGATGTAAACAGGCCAGTGATGGGGCCATGGCTGACACAGGCGAGGCCCTAGCAGGAATTTTCATACTAGTGATTGAGATGGTAGATACATTTTTAAAAGCATTACGGCCACGCTTGCCTCCACACTTCCTGCCTGGTCCAGTCCTGCAAACAGGACTGTCCCTCAGCTTCAACTCCAACTCCATGCAGGCTGTGGACTCTCGGGACAGTGGGACCAGAAGTAAAGAGCACACTTGAGGCTGAGAGTGAAAATAAGTTATGCAAACAATCTTGCCACAAGGAAACAGCCATAGGAGGAGTGAGGGCAAGGGCCGGCATCAGGGAGTGGAGGTCCGTGTGCTTCTCTTCACAGGGCTTTACAGGCAGAAGGGCCACACAGCAGAAATCTCCCGGACGCTGCATTTCTAGGAGCAACATTTCTAGGAGTGATACTAGGCTGCCCAGCTACTGGATTATGAATGGTCCCGGACAGATTGGGCACAGTAGGTCTTATGTAATACAATTATATGGGGGCATGGTTTCAGCAGAGAGGGGGAGGAACCCACCAAGGGACCCTCAAGGTGTAACAAACCCACCTGCCCAGAGGAGCAGCAGAGAGAAAATAGTACATTTAAGTGAGTACTTAACAGAGGAAGATTAGGGACACATGGAGTAGCAGCCATTTATTTTTAAGAGAGACAGAATTTAAATGTGTCAATGTCGTGACTATATGTTTGTGTTTTGTAATATACTAAGAGGCATATTAAGAGTCTTGGTAAGTCTTATGACTTTGTGGATATACTATATTTTATGTAATCCAAAAATGTTGCCAAATTTCAAATTGATTTGGGCATGTAGTATATCTATCTGCAGACTACTAGTCAGAATCCTTGAAGTCTGGCTAATGTGAAATTAGGAGGGGTGACACCATATGAGAGTGTATTGGAGAAAATGAGAAAAGTAGCAATATGTATTTTGATGCTCTTCCTCTCTTGGATCGTGTGTAAGCGAGACCACATTTCTAAATCCCATTGAATTGTTTGGCGTGGAGCATTTCCCTCCTTGCCACACTGTTTGTCTGTGGGAAGCCAGAGAGGGGGTTGGAGATAAGGTAGGGCTGGCACCTGACCAGGTGTGGCCGACTCACAGTCCATCACACACTTTTGTCTGCAAGTCTCTTCTCGGATGAGTGAAACAAAGATGCTGATGAAATGCTTTATAGGGCAGAACCTGTTTGCACGATAAGAAGCCAGAGCCTGAGCTGTGGGTAACTCTCAGCCTGGCTCCTCTCTTTGGTTTTTTCTCCTTAGCACAATGCTGCATAATGAGAGTGCCCTTATATTTGGGACCTAACATCCTGGTTTGCCTGAGACAGTCCCTGTCCATACCTGTTATACTCATGTAATTATTCATATCGATCTGTTCACTCTAAAAGTGTCCTAGGCTGGACAAAATTATATGATGACTGTACTTGTATTGAGAGCTAAAGCCTCACTATGTGTTTAGTAGTGACATTATAACTAAATTTATTTTACAATTGCCCAACTCATCTGATGGCTTGGGTAAAACCATTTTGTTTAATCCTAGTGTTCTCTCCTTAGCAGCGGTCACATGACCAAGGTGAATGGGAAGTTGGGATAGTGTTTTGGAGAACATTGCTAACAGTTGTGATGCATGTTGACTTATAAGCTCTGGTATGCACATCAGAGAAAGCAGTGTCCCAGATGCCACTGGCCCCACACCTGGACCAAAGGACAGTAAAGTGAATTTGGATTCTGTGGTCATCCTCTAGACTGAGGCTAAGGTTTCCCTGCACCATGAGGGCCACCTTATTGGCCTCTGTTTCATATTAGTCCATCTGCATCTTCTTGTATAAGCTTTTAGCACAGCAATGTGGCCTTTGTTCCTGACCTGACAGCAGGACCATGCCATATGCAATAACATACACTGCTGATCCATCCAGCCCCATTAATAATTCTCCAAATTCCCAACATGACCCAGTGTTTACAAACACAGTTTCTATTGCCTTGTTAATTTTTGGTAACAAAAAGGTATAAAAACTTTTGTAATAATGAGCCAAGGATCATCAAGTATTTTAAGCTGTGGCACAAATAATTAAGGTTTCTCCAAATACCATACTTCATTGGCTGTAAGATGCTATCAATTGTAAAATGAAACATCATTTTGTGTTCTATTAAGAAAGAAACAACTACTGAAAATTAACCTATGACACACACCACTGATTTCAGAGATGTTAACATGGGAAAACTGTGTATTTTAGAATCAATGAAATATTTGTTGTTGTTACGTGCTGTTGAGTCAATTCTGACCCATAGTGACCCTATGTACAACAGAACGAAACACTGCACCATCCTCACAATCATGAAATATAGTATATTAGAAATGACGGGTTTGCGGAATTTGGAGTAAATTTTATCTCTTTTTCTGATTGTGTAGTCATTACACACACACACACACACACACACACATACACACACAGATAAATTCACCAAGCTGCATATTAGTGTGAATGTCCAGAGCTGAGTATGTGGCTCCCTGCCCCAAACCTCACACATCATTGGCATGCTGCCCCAATCCATCCCTTGCAGTTTGTCTGCATAGCATTCTTATTTTGCTCCTCACTACATGATGTTAAGGAGCCCTGGCAGCACAGTTGTTGAGAGCTCGGCGGCTAAGCAAAAGGTTGGCAGTTTGAATCCACCACCTGCTCCTTGGAAATGCTATGAGGCAGTTCTACTCTGTTCTATAGGGTTGCTACGAGTCGGAACTGACTGGACAGCGTTTTTGTTTTTGTTTTTTTTAATGACATTAAAGGAACCCTGGTGTCGCAGTGATTAAGCGCTTGGCTGAAAAGGTCAGTGGTTTGAACATAGCAGCCTCTGCTAACTGAAAGTTTCATGGTTTGAATTCACCAGCCACTCTGTGGGAGAAAAATGTGACAGTCTGCTTCCTTAAAGATTACAGCTTGGAAGCCCTATTGGGACAGTTCTACTCTGTTCAATATGAGTTGCTATGGGTCAGAATCGACTTGACAACAATGGGTTTTTCAACAGAATATAACAGTATTTTATTCTTTTTTGCATCCTCAGTTCTGAGCTGCAATAAATTGTTTGGAGAGATGGCAGGTGAGTTTGAAAATGGGCTTAAAATGACAGAATAAACTATTCATTTCTGGAGAAATCTCAGCAACCAAGATTTTGTAAACCATACTGGCATGTTATCCTTGTAAACTCTTTTAATCTATTACCCTATTTTTCTCTTATATAACCCTCCCTAGTTCTGTGGTTCTCAGACTTGAATTACCTGAAGAGCCTGCTAACAAATGCAGATTCATGACCCGGACCCTCAGGGTTCCCGAGCAATAAGTCTGACTGCATCATGGAACGACACATTGTAAACAAGGTTTCTGGGCAATGAAGAGTCCTCTGGGTGGTGCAAACGGTGAATGCACTTGAATTTGAGAAAGAACACCCTAAAATTAAACTCTTTGGGGTGTTTGTCATAACTAAAAGGATGCTGCCTCTGAGTCTGAACTCAAACCCCATTTTGGAAAACCTGCTACTCTAAGAAGTTAATCTTAGCACAAAATTAACCTGCAGCCAAGGGAATGTTTTTCTCTGTAATTAGGCTACAGAATGTCAAAAGCACCTCATACAAAACGAGGAGAAGGAAATACATCGAAACCCTTTGTGTAAAGATATTCTCAGGAGAACTTTCCCCTAACCAAGTTAATTTTTACCTTGTCTTCCCATAGAATCCATCACATTAAGTTCCCTGTCTCCAGATATTCCACCCTGGACCATCTTACCTCACCAAGCACCAATCAGTATATCATTAGCTAGTTCCCAAATAGCCTTAAAACAAACAGCTCATCTGCAGCTTGTTCCCAAGGAGCTTGTTCCCAAGGAGCCTTGAAATAAACAGCTTAACTATAAGCCACTAATCCAAAATGCCCTCATACCCTGATAAACCAATCTCTTTTGAGCCCTGGCTTCTAATGATCCTGCCTTATGCTGATCATAGTTTGTAGCTTCCAATCAAAATAGTATACCTAAAGTTCTTTGTTCTCACTCTATAAAAATGTGTTTGCAGCTTCACCACCTTGGAGCTTTGACTTTCACTTTGTGAAACTCAGTGTTTTCTCCAGTTCAAGCTGTCTCTCCCTTCAATAAATCTCTTTGTAATTACTTCAACAGAGTACAATTTTTTACTCTTAGACAAATGCTAACCAAAAGGTTAGGTATTTGAATCCACCCAGAGACACCTCAGAAGAAAGGCTTGGCAATCTACTTACAAAAAGTCAGCCACTGAGAACCTGTGGAACACAGTTCTACTCTGACACATGTGGAGTCATCACGAGTCAGAGTTGACTCAACAGCAACTGGTGGTGGTGGTGGTGGTCTGGGTACTAACTGACAATCATTTGAGAACCTTTGCATAACTGTTAGAATCATCATTAAGCTCAACTGGTGCAAGGCTCCGGAAGAGTGACAGAGACAGAGATGGGGGTAGAGAGGAGCACCTTCGTGGCGGCAGGGGACACAGTTGTCCTAAAATCTGAGGAACAACTATTAGGATTCCTCAAAGCACATTGACTCTTTGCATTCAAGTTTGGGCTGCATGTGACCCTGAGTTAGAGAGCTGGTAAAACTTATAAACTCATTACTGTTCAGTTTTATCAAAAAAAAAAAAAAAAAAAAAAGAATTAGAACATCCTTTCAGGCTTATAGGTGGCTTGCCATGATTTTGGAGCAAAAAAAAAAAACAATCAGATGTTACCAGAATGAGGGTGGGAAAGAAAATTTAAGAGTTCCTGGAATTGATTTGGCTAATAAAATGATTTAAAATCTAGTAAGTATTAATGTACTTCTAAGAACGTTTGATAAAGTACTTTTTAAAAGTACTGTGGTGGCATAGTGGTTAATAGCTCAGCTGCTAACCAAAAAAAAGTCAGCAGTTCTAATCCACCAGCACCCCTTGGAAACCCTATGGTGCAGTTCTGCTCTGTCCTACAGGGTTGCTATGAGTCAGAATCAAGTCGACGGCAAAGGGAATATATTAAAAGTCACTGGATGGTGCAAACGGTTAACGCTCTTGGCTGTTAACAAAAAGGTTAAAATTTCAAGGCCACCTAGAGGCACCTCAGAAGTAAGGAATGGTGATCTACTTCTGAAAAATTATCTATTGAAAACCCTATGGAGCAGAGTTCTACTCTGACACACATGGAGTCGACATGAATTGGAGTTGACTCTATGGCAACTGGTCGTGGTGGTGGTATACATTTAAAAAAATAGCAGTTAAATTAAAAGAAATTGAGGCAATGGATCCTCTCTTTGCTTGTGAAAACACTGCGGGGAAAAACTGACCTCCTTCGATCTGAGTACAAACTAGATAGTAAGGGAGAAAAAGGAAATTGTTATATTTTATAGTATAAAATTGCATTAAGTTGTCAAAAAGTTATCTGATACAAATAACCAAATCCAGCTTGTTTATTTTCAAACCCTAAAGCAATTATATCCCTACAGTAATGTAAAGATGTGCCTTACGTTTGCTGTTAAAGATTTGTCTTCCACCCAGGTCAGTAACTTTGGCTTGCCTCCTTTCCCTGGCCAAGTGCTCCAGGAGAAACCGGTCCAGGTCTTTGTAGGTGCCATGGCAGGCGCGGCCTGGCTCCTCCTGCAGTGCTATTGCCTGCTCCGGCAAACTTAAGTTGCCCTTGGCTTTCTCCAGTTCCCCAGACTCCTGGGTCACCATGGACAGGCACTCTTGATCATCTTCCTTGCGCTCGGGGAAGGGAGGCTGGGCTGGGCACTCCAGGGGCTCCGCGTGAGCCTTCTGAGGGTCCTTCCTTTCCGCTTCACGGTCACACATGTTTTCACAAGGGATACATTTTTCACCTTCTGTTTTTATTTCTGAAACTTCTAATGGGTCTTTTTTATCATCCACTAAAATATACTTGGGGCCTCTGCGTGGTTTGGTTTCTTCTGAGAAATTGGAGCTGCTCTCCCAACCCATCTCTGCACTTTCTGAGTTACTTTCCCCGTCATCGGAGGAGCAGTACCGGAGCTGGGGGTCCTTGGCTCTGTCTTTCCTATCATCAGAATGAAACAGAAAGCAATTGTCTACCTCGTCACTCTCTGTTTTTAAAGACTGGACGCCACTGTCATTTAAGTTTTCATTCATGGTCTGCACAGATGCTTCATTTTCAAATTTTCCCAAGGGCATTAAAGATTTGACCATGAGCTCTTGATAGCTAGCATATCTATCTTCCTTTCTATTGAAGTTTTCTTGTGCAGCTGAATAAAGAGTGTCATCCACAGGTTTTATCATGAATTCCTCTACAGAAAAAGAAAACCAGTGTTTAAAACAGAAGAGCAAAACATATTTTAAGAAAATAGCACCAGGACACACACATACGTATGTACATACACACATATACATATATAATATGTGTAATATGTGACCTTTATCAATTTTATAAACATTAGGGAGTAAGTCATATATCTTCTTAAACCAAAACAAACCTTTGTAGTTATTGCCATCCAGACGATTTTTGACTCATTGTGACCCTATGTGACAGAGTAGAACTGCCCTGTATGGTTTCCTAAGCTGTAATCTTTATAGAAGCAGATTGCTAGGTCTTTTTCCCACAGAGCAGCTGGGTGGGTTCAAACCACCAACCTTTCAGTTAACAGCTGAGCGCCTAACCGTTGCACCACTAGTGCTCCTAAATGAACCTTAGAACTTAATATTCTGAGAATTGCCTTTAAAGAAATGAGCTATTAGAATTTTAAGCATTATAAGAGCTAAATATTTCTGGGGTACTGACCAAGAAGTAGATACTTAATAACAACAGTGCTGAATGTGAAATTATTGTTAGTGCACCTCTTATATTCCCAAATCTTAGCCAACCATAAGGAAATAAAAAATACACAATACTATACCTTACCAAAAAAATACTCATCATATTTCTCTGTTGGTGTGAAAATGTATTTTCTAAGCTTATTTGGTTTATATTCCCTGGCCCTCCATATATATTCTCACATATATTTTCAGATTTCATTGACTATTAGCTGAAATACCAATAAATCTACATTGAGATGATAGAAAAAGGATTCTGAAGCTTTCATGACTTCCTGTTCACTTATGTAATTGTTACACTAAAATTCCATGTCCAGGGAAATACAAGTAAATGGAAAAATCAACACGATCAAATAATATCTTAAAAAGTAACAAATTCTCTGGTCTGGTCTTTGCATGCATTTATGTAAGAAGAAAGAGGCAAGAGGTGGAGGTGGTTGGAGGACATTTAATATTAATTAGCTAGTTGTGCTCAGTACAGGGCCAACGGGGGTCCTGAAAGTCAGGAAATCTCTGTGACTGAGGGCAGCCCAATGTGCCTGGGGTCCTGGTGTAATTATTGGTGTTACCCCCTTCCCTCCCAGGAGTGCTTCAGTTTGGGTGGTCACTACCCACACCCATCCCAATGCAGACAGGCAATTGGGCATTGGCAAGCAGGAGGGAAAGCCCAGCTGGCTGGTGGCTGGAGGCCTGGCCCAGACACGGGAGAGATGGGGAAGCATGGTGAAGAGCACACACCAGGCTGTGAAATGCCCAAGCTACCAGCAATTGTCCTTCTGACATGCACTAGGACAAAAAAGAAAAAAGGAAAAAATTGCAGGACCATTCCTCTGCTTCAAAAGGCAGGATAGGGGATGGGAAGCAGAAAATATTAAGCCCATTAAAGACTGTTAAAGACATCAAACGAAGAGCATTCCATGTTAATCAACATTTTCAGGTGGAAGAAAGGCGTAGCCATTGGTGGTTAGAGCCCAAGGAGAGGGTGTCTGTGCCCAAGACAATGTGCCTCTTTCTGTCTCACTTAATTTTTTATAAACATTGTCTCTGACAAGGACACTTAAAAATGCATCTCCATCATCTTCCGTTCTGGTAATTATCTCCCTAAATCGACACTGGACTGCCAGGATCAAGTAAATATTGCCATAGTAACTAAAAGCATTTTTGGATGAAGCGAAGAATTTAGTCACAACACTAGCCCCTTTAAATAATGCTGATTATAGGGTGCAGTCTTTTGTTGGGATCTATTCAACATAAACTGAAAATTTTAACATTTTGCTTCCTAGAAAAGAGCCTGGATAAACAAGCATGTAATATTTGACAGGATGGTCTATCCTCTCCTGAATTCATATCAGAGCAACTCCAGGTTTAAATAATAAATTAAACATAGTCTAAAATGCAAATGAAGTTTTTCTCAATGTCATGGTTGGCTATTAAGAGAAAGTGTAAAGGGTTATGATAATTTTAAAGTATTACGAACTACAGAAAACAAACAAAAAGCATTTTCAGTGAATATGCTCAATTCATTGAACTCTTCTCTCACTCCACTTAACTACCCACGTGTGTACAATAATGATTTATAGACATTATACCTAATTATGCATATTTGGGCTGTGTGAGAGTGCTAACAAAAGCTCTAGAAAGCAACAATTACCTCTGTTGCTTAGCTACATAGTTTAAAATATTCCTATTAAGTGCAGATCACCAGAGAGAGAGGAGTGACAAAACACACATGTGCACCACAATGCATTGCCCCACGCTGCTGCCAAACTGCCTGCGTTTGGGTCACTTCCAGTTTACATAATTGTTTGGTTCAATTGTTTGTTACGTGCTCAAAGAAAATATTTATTAATTATTCTTTGGAAAAAGAAGAGTGCTGCAGCCTGCATGGATCGTGGCTGTGGCTTCTAGGGACATTCTGAAGACCTGACCCAACTTCCGTGGACCCTCCCTCCCAGAGCACTGTGATGATAAGGAAGAAAGTTATGTTTGTTTTTGAACCCACAGGTCACTAACAAGGCATGTGTTTCTCACAGCTCTGTACTGGGTGCAGAGCTTTTCTACGCTAGTGGAATTATATTTTTTTAGGTGACCTGGTCGCTCATTTTGTGCCTTTGCCACCACAATAAGAGCCATCAGAGTTGCAGATTAGGTGTGAGTTCTGGTGATGCTGCGCTCACTGTGCCAACTCAGACAGTTCCTTAAGCTTTCTGACCCTGAGTTCCTTACCTGCACCGTAAAGAGGACAATATCTCATCACAGGATACCTGTGTAGGTCACACAGGTAAAGAAGATGATACCAAACAGGTATCAGTAAGTGATGGTTTTTGTTCCCTTTCCCTAGGTGGTATTTTAGAGGTTATCAATGGAGGCCTCAGCCTCACAGAGGGGCCTGTTCTCATATTCTATAGGTGCTTACACCTGAATATATCCACTTGGTTAATATTAAGTATCCATGATAATCAAGCCATTGTGATAGAAGCTAGGAACCAGTGGGCCAGATACAGCCCTTGTCCTTATGGAGCTTATGAGAATGTGTTGATGCAAAAGCATGCTCATTTTTATTAAATATTTGGCTCATTAATGTCAGCTAGATGAATTACGGAGCCCTGGTGATGCAGTGGTTAAGAGCTTGGCTGCTAACCAAAAGGTCGGCAGTTAGAATCCACCAGCTGCTCCTTGGAAACCCGGTAAGACTGTTTTACTCTGTCCTATAGGGTCACTATGAGTCAGAATCAACTTGACAGCAATGAGTTTAGATGAATTATACCTCAGGTCTAGCCACACTGATTCAAGACCCTCCCTAATACTCAAGGCAACCTACAATTTTCAAGAATCAACAAGTGAAACTGATCAGCTTCAAGGAAACGCAAGAAGCCAAGGATGACTCTAACTTACAGATGACCCACAAGGCTCAAAGCAATGTGACTGAGAGTGAAAAGATAGAAAACTTACTTAAATGCTGTCAAATCAGAATATAACTTTGTTTTAAATATAGAATCTCAAGCTTATCCCAAGCCCTGATTACTGGAGATGTGGTGATTCTGAGATTTGTGCTCTCTCAGTCAGTATGATTTTACATGATTTTTATTAATACGGATTATTATCATTCTATATACACTAGATATTTATGACCTGAGAAAGTAGTTACCTTTTGTTTGTATAATGTATACTTCTTTTCAATTGACAACTTATTTAGTATATTTTGATTCCCTAGAATGGGTCATAGTCAAAAAACTATTCTGTAAATTTAATAGAACATGCCTTCATCTAACTTCGTTTCTAAGAAGTCGAGCTTCAGATTTTCAGTTATTTATTTTTCGGACAAAATTTAAAGACATTTTTCATGTTATTCAGTTTCAGCCTCATACACAAAGTGGTTGGTGATATTCTAACTGTTAGAGGCAATGTGGCCACCAGGAACTAATGCAAGTACCTGTGAGCTGGGGGAAAATAGATCCTAAAGTTTTCAAAAAGGTAATTTAATTACAGGAAGTTTGCAAGTAGTGTTCCATGAGTGAATGAATAAATGGATTAATGAAAATATAATGTGCATTGAAAAATTATTTATTTTTGAAATAATGGTCATATTAGCAGATTTTCTATAATACATCATTTTCCTACAGTAGGTTCCCAATTTGTGTTCCCTTCTATATAGTCCATTGCTGTATTTATTTAAAAAATATATGTTAAAATATTAAGGTTACAGACTCCTTGCCAATAGTGATCCATGTTGCATTATTTTTGGGGCTGAATATTACTATGTATTTTGATAAAGCAATTTAAAAATAAAGATTTTAGTAATCATGTTACATAGGACACAATCTTTAAAAAGAGATCTTAAAGCTTAAATATGCCCCTTGGCTTTAAAGGGTTCCTTCCATCCTATTATGGAGTCAAGGTATTCTTCAACTTTATGACTTAGCATCTTTTGTTTTCTTCTAAAGGAGGCATAACCCAATCTGTGTTTTTGGAAATGGACTGCAGGCAAGAACTCGGTTTTGTTTATCTTTGGACACTGCACAGTGTCTGATAAAAAAATGGGCCTTCAATAAATAGATGTTGAGTGAAATAAAGGAAATTCAATTTTGCTTCTAAACTGGAATATACTTTTACAACCACACAAACCATATGTTCTCCATAAATTTAGACATGTCACTGGTGCCAGGGAACAGACAGTGTCGACCCCTCTTCCTTGCTACCTGCAATGGAGTGATCATCTGTTTGCAACAGGCAACTGCCCTCCTCAGCCTCAGTCCTGTCCTCATTCTCTTCTTTGCAGTCCATGTTGGGGCTGTAGTGACGGGGCTTCATTAACAGCGATTTTCTTTTGTTGACCGGAACACCCAGAATCTGCTCCTCACCTCTCCTCTTTCTCCCCATGGAACAGTCATATGCAGCACTGTCATGATGGAAGCAAATGAAAACAGGGTTAAATAGTGGTCACTGCTGTTTGGCATTTGACTTTCAAGAAGTATAACCTGAAGCACGTGGTAATTGAAACTATTTTTATAGAACTTGGGACTAGTGGGTAATGTTAGTTGCTGGCATGAACAAAAACAGTCCATCAATGGAATCCACTGAACTGTTTGTATTTTCTCTTTCTATCAGAAAAGTTGTTTTTTTTTTTTTTTTAAATCATCCTAAATCCCAAGTAAGCATTTGTTAATCTATGCTTTGCTTAGCACCACACTAAATACCCAGGGAGGGATGAAACAAGATTTACACTAGTTTGCTAATCTTAAGAAACACCTAATGTGAAAAACATACCACCACAAACAAACAACAACAAAAATGTATCTAGCATGGATAAATCACAAGATTTTTTAAAACAGTTGTTTGCTACAGAAGCTGCTTATCTCTGCAACAGTTATACATCAAACTTGAGAAGGCCACATGCAGCAGGCTTTAACTTGAAAGAAATGGGCATAGCGGGAGGGGACAAGCTACGAGCGTCCGGTCAACACATCTCCAGTCACCAAAGAAAAAGCAGAAGATGCAATATGGTAGGCTGCCTTTTGAATCTCATCCATATGGCATGCAGAGCAAATGAATAAAAGTAGGAGAAATAAGATAGAGTTTCACAAAAATGGACAACACTCTATTCTTACTCCTGTTATCATATGGTTTTATTTAGAAATGCTCCTGAGGCTGGCCCTTTTCAAAATCTGATTAAGGAATCAAATCCAAGTAGATTTCCTACATATAGCCCACTCAGGACTTATGCAGATCACACCATTTGCTGAAGTGAAGACAAACATTCTCTTGGCAAGATCCATAAAAGCCAGAAGTTTTAGCCAACAGTGAGTCTATGAGAGATATTTATTAATATCTTGAAGAAAAATGCAGAAGCTTAATATAGAAAGATCCTAGACTTGGAGTAACTAGATATTATTTACTCCATCTCTGAAACATGATTGAATACTGAGTAATATTAATAAATAGACAAAAAACCTTAAATTGTTCCCTTGGACGCATCAATGCAAAGATGGTTGCCTATTAATGAGAATTATTTGGTGATAGTTACACATATATTTTTGACTTTGTTGTTGTTGTTAGGTGCCACCGAGTTGACTTTCAACTTATAGTAAACCCATGTGAGAGAGTAGAACTGTCCCATAGGGTTTTCTTGGCTGTAATCTTTATGGAAGCAGATTTCCAGGTCTTTCTCCTGTGGAGCTGCTGGGTGGGTTTGAACTGCCAACATTTTGGTTAGCTGTGGAGCACTTAACTGTTGTGCCACCAGTTGCTCCTTATTCTTGACTTTAGAAGAGTAGATTTCAAAACTTCATAAGGAAAAAAAAGTCATTCTTTCCAGAAAAAAAGATTCTGGAAGGAGAGATAATTCAAGTGGGCTAGAAATCCCTCAAAGTATTAAAAATTGTACAATTAAAATTTATCCTTAAAACTATAGAGACAGTAAAAGATCAGTGCTTGCCAGGGGCTCAATGAGAGGAGGGAAGATGAATGGGTGAAGCACGGAAACAATTCTACTTAACTTCATAGTGGTGGGCATGTGATATTATGCATTTGTCAACATCCATAGAACTGTACAACACAAACTTGTTGTTTGTTGCCATTGAGTCAATTCTGACTCATGGCAACCCCATGTGTGCAGAGTAGAACTGTTCCATAGGGTTCTCAAGTATGGGACCTTTTGGAAGCAGATTGTCAGCCTGTCTTCCAAGGTGTCTCTGGTGGGTTTGAACTGCCAACTTTTCAGCTAGTAGTTGAGTGTTTAGCCATTTAAGCCACCCAGGGACTTCATACAATAGAAACAGAGAACTCTAATGTAAACTATGGACTTTAGTTAATAATAATATATTAATATTGGAGTATCAATTTTAGCAAAGGAATCACATGAATGCACAATGTTATTAACAGGAGAAGCAGTGTGCAAGGAGAAGAGTGGTATATGGAAATTCTCTGTACTTCCTGCACAATTTCTCTGTAAATTTATAACAGCTTTAAAAAATAAAGTTTATGAAAAAAATAACCTGATGAGAAAGAGAAGAGTGAAAGTAAATAATGTCTCTATTAGACTATGCAGAAAGTGAAGACTGTTTCTGCTGGTTTGACAAAACACACACACACACACACACAAAGAGATGGTTGTTCAAGGAAAACATAGGTCTACAAGATACGAGTTATGATGTATTGAGATAGAGAAGCAGCGATCATGGAGATGGTGAAGGACCAGCAACATTTCATTATGTTATACATAAGGTCGCCATGAGCAGGGGTTGACTTGACAACAGCTAACAACATCAACATGGAGAAGTAGACTGACCCTCATTTTTGGATTCTTTGTCAAAGAGACTGATCTTTTTGAAGGAGAAGGGGTAGGAGAAACATATCAAAGAGTGATAAAATTGCTAAGTATGTAAAGAGAGTTCAAGAAGTTTCCTAAAGTAGTTAAAATCTCCTAAATCAAGTGAATTTCCACCAAAGAAGCTCAGTAAATATACACAAGTAAGATAACTAAACCATTACCATGAAACAAGAAGACTTACAGAAAATGAGAGAAATAGAAAATGGAAAAGGTAACTCAGACGTTAAAGCAAGGAGACAAAGTGGATTCCAAAAACAGTAGCGATATGAGCACAACAGTGATAATGGGAAAGAGGCTAAAAAGTTTATCAAAACAAATTTGTCAGCAGCAGAAAACAATGATCAATGGGATCTCTGGCGTGTGGGTGGGGTTAACAAAGAACTAGCACATCATAAAAATATCATTTATTTCTTTGATGACTGGGGTGAAGAATCAAACTGAACAACCTGAAAGATCCTTACAAACTTGGACTTGTTAGAATTATTATCCTATTTTATTTACAAAATCATGTAACTGGTAATTGCTGGAGGTGATATTTAATCTGCTGGCTCCAAAGTTCCTGCTCTTTCATCCAAGATGCCAGATCAGAAAAATGAGCTTGAGTCATTTCTGTATGCCTTTGGCATTAAATGGAATAGTAGCTGGATACACTCGCAACCTCTGACTGGAAGGATACTACCACAAGGCTTTGTCCAAAGCAATAATGCGGGGGGAATATATAAGACATTCTTCAGTCTGAACCTGATACTGAGTTGCAGTGATGAAAGACATGATGCAAAAATGGCCATAGACTGGAGCAATGGAAATAAACCTACTAGGATAACGTTTAGTGGTAATAAAAATAAAGTCCAAGATTTGGATCCAAATAACAACTCTCCAAGTGTAAGATGAAGGGGATATGTCAGGTTTTATTGAAAGTGCAAGTTTAGACCTAAATGTGCAAACTAAAACTGTGAAATTCTTAGAAGAAAATGCAGGGGCAATGCTGTTGGGTCTAGCTTTTAGCAATGGATTATCTAATACAACAATAAAAGAACAAACAGCAAAAGACAAAATAGATAAATGGGACTGCATTAAAATTAAAAATTTTCATTCATCAAAAAGACATTAGAAAAAAGGAGAAAAGACAAGTTACCCACTGCAAGAATATCTTTGGAAACCATATATCTAATAACCAAAATGTATATAAAAGTTCAACAACTACAAACAGACAAACAACCCAATCACAAAATGAGCAAAGGACTTGAATAGACAGTTCACCAAAGAAGACATTCAAATGGCCACCAAACACACAAAAAGATGCTTCACATTATTAGCCATCAGAGAGATGAAAATCAAAACCACAATGAGATACCATTTCACTACCATATGATCCAGCAATTCCATGTCTGGGTATGTACCTAAAAGACTTGAAAGCAGAGCCTCAAACAGATACTTGTACATCAGTGTTCATTATAGCACTATTCCCAATAACCAAAATGTGAAAACCTAAATGCCCATCAACAGATGAATGGACAAACATTTTTTACATACATACAATGGAATACTACTCAGCCAGTAAGACAAATGAAAACTTGATATATGCTATACTATGGATGGAGCATGAATACATTATGCTGGTGAAATAAGTCAGTCACAAAAGGATAAATTTTGTATGACCTCACTTATATAAAAAGACAAGAAAAAAGCAAATGTAGAGACCAAAGTTTAGTTGTGGATACCAGGGGTGAAGAGGGGCGGGGTGATTATTGCTTATGGAGTACTGAGTTTCAGTTTACAGTGATGGAAAAATTGCATTGATTAAGGGTAGGGTTGCACAGCCATTTAATGTAATTTCTTTTAATAAGTTGTGTACCTGTAAAAAGCTGAATTGACAAAATTTGTGTGATAGATATATTTACAAAGATGATAAAAAAAAAAAAAAAGTACCTGCTGAGGCTGCTTATGTATAACCAAATACCTCATGGGATTTGGTTCCTTGATTTAGAGGTTTAGGGTTATGATTTCAAGGAACATCCTAGTTAATTGCCAAATAACATGTTTAGTGCTTCTGTTCTACCTCCTAGTTCTTTGGTCTTAAAAGCTTGCAAATGGCCATACAAGGCACAACAATTTTCTCTAGTCACCTAGAGCAATAGAGGAAGAAGGGGACTAAAGAATATGAGAAGGAAATGGAATATGAGGCTAACTGCCTCCACAAACAACTGCCCCCATTGCTACGAGACCAGAAGAACTAGATGGTGCCCTGCTACCATTACTGAACATTTTGATCAAAGATTCTATAGAAGAATCCTGCTCAAGAGGATAAAATACAGAAAAGAATTTCAAATTCTCATGGAATTAAGTATTTCTGGAGCCATGGAGGCTGGATAAACCCCCAAAACTTTTGCCCTGAGATAATCTTTAAACCTTAAATCAAAAATATCCCCTGAAGTCTTAAAACCAAAAATAGTTTAGCTTAACTAGTAAAGAATGTCTGCCTTGAGCATTATTTTCTTTTAAGATCTATCTATATGGGACCAAATTGACAACAGCAACTTGAAAGATTAGATAGGTACCTTAGAGG